ATAGGATGATGGGACAATGCCATCCTAGAAAACTATTAAGATTTTAAGTAATTTAGAGCTATCTTTGGTGAGTACCCAGAACAGGAGCTGCTAATTGGGAGATTTATAAATAGTGTGCTAGGAATGAATGATTTTGCCTTCATCAACCAGTTTTGGGAAGGTCTTTCTGACTACTATGATCAATTAGCATGACAAGGCACACCAAGAACCTTGGAAGAGTTATTTCAATGTTGTGTGATGATTGATGACATGCTAGAAAATTTGAGACATGGAAGAGATTAAAAGGGGGGACAGTTCACAGCTTTTCTTTTTGGGGACTATTGGCCTCTCATTGGGCATATAACTACACTATCAACTTTTTGCAGCCCAGATCACAGTTAAGATGACAAAAATCCCTTGTCAGTTTAGGAGTCAACAGTTTTAAACAAGTTTCTGAACAGTCTGAAGAAAGAATTCCTTCCCTCATCATCTCCTGCATCTGCATTGCTATTTTTATAGAAAAGAAAAATAAGTCTTGAGACTAGTTCATGATGATAGATTTCTCAATTTGTGACAATTAGAAATCACTACTCACTGCCTCTTCTTTCACATCTCCTGGATCATCTTCAGAAGGCATAAATTTTCAGTCAATCTGACTTGAGAGGAATTTACCATTTGATTTGGATAAAGGATGATCACAAACACTTAACAGCCTTTGACATTTGTAAGGGAAGTTTCAATACACTATAGTGTTCTGTAGTCCACTGTCCATCAGTCTCTTTTAAATTAATGAATAAGAAATTCATAGATATTCTGGACAAATATATGGCAGTTATCTAGGAATGTTTCCCCCCCCCGAAACTGTTTTTATTCATTCTACTCAGGTCAGAAATGTGTAAGTGCATCTCTGCAAATACAAACTGCATGGTAAATTGTAAATGTATTTAACTTTCCAGTCTTGGACTGTTTAGATTATCTGATTTCTAGGGAAAGAGGTCAAATGGATCCTGCAAAGGTTCAATCCATTCTTGCAGGGCAGGCACTTAGAATTATTAAATATGTCAAGTGTTTTTTTGGGCTTTGCCAACTTTTGCTGATTTTGTCAAGTGCTAAAGTTTACCAACTTACCGTAACTCCTGAAAAAATAGCACCAATTTAAGTGGTCTCTGATCAACAACAAGCTGCCTCTGAGGATGTGAAACATCTTCTCCTTCCTGCCTCTGCTTCATTAACTGAATCCCAGCATCCTGGCCTGCCCCCAACATGATGTGCTGAATGGACAGGAGATTCTTTTTCTCCTACTGACCAATAGCTGATTTTGCCACTAGATCTGATTATTTGGTGGCTTTGTGCCACATTTTTTGAAGGGGACACTAGGAAGGACCAAAGACAACCTTTAAATTATCCTGCACAAAGAAGAGGAGGGCTGGATGCCTGCAATTCTCTGTAAGGAGTGATTGGAAGGTCTGGTCTCTTGCCACCTTTTCCCTTCAGCTGCTCATTTTTATTAAGCATGCTTGGGTTTTAATTGCACTTTTTGATGCTTTAAAAACTTTTGATTTATGACTAGATGACTTTTGGCCTATTTTATAATCCCTTAATGGACTTTTACAACTTTTCTCCTGCTTTTTAATTTAATGTTTACCATTAAATTAAAAAAAATAACTGTAAATAAGTTGTGGTGGGACCTACATCCATACAGGATTATACTATAAATTGTGCTCTTTCTAGCTTTTTTCTTTTTTCAAAAGAGCTTTGATATTTACCTCTTAATTTTTGATGGGAAAATTGCCCTTTCTTTAATCTTGAGAAAGAAAAATTTTCCCTGTGAAAACTGTTACTAATCTGCTTCTTTTGTCCTTGAAGAGAGAACAAAAAGTGTTTCACATGCGTTCAAAAAGACATAAAACTATTTTGGGAGACAATTGAAAAAAAGAATGCTCTCCAACTTACAGATTCTATTTGAAAATATAACAAAAAAAATTGATGTCTCTATAATGGTTCTGCAAACCCAAGATGATATCCAAAAGCAGGAAATAACAGTTGGACCTTATTTGCCATTTGCGGAATTGGAATTTGATTTGTCATTGTCAGATGTGGAAAAAAATGTGTTTAGTTCACCAGAAAAGATTAAAAAGAATACAAAATTAAGAAACTCCAAGATAATGGATATGATGCAAGATGGACTTGGCAAGAAGAATGCTGTGTTGTTAAGGAGAATTATTCAACAATGGATGTTGCAGAGATATTTACAACAGAGATTTAGGAACTTATGGAAGTAAGATGCAATTGTTGGTAAAGTTAAAAAAAATTAAAATTAAATTAAAAATCTAAAAGAAATGTTTTATTATTAAGAACCCAATGAGGGTATTTGACCCTGGACTCAGAGATAATGATATGGGTGATTTGTAATAAGAAACAGTGTAGATTTTCTATCAGTAAATCACAATAACAGACTGTTAACAGAATGCTTTGAATTTTAACTTTGCTGTTGTTTAACCTGTTAACTGGTTTTTATTTCACATATGTTACGTACGGCAGGTCTGTTGGATTGTAAAAGCTTATAAATTTTGGATCTGCTCTGCAAAGGGGAAAGCTATTATTGTTGCTATAGATTTGTCAGTGTTCAACTAGGGGGAATAATATGTGGTTTTGACCTTTTTTTAATTCAAATTTTTTTCCAATGTTTTTTGTTTAGCTTTATTTTACCTCTGTTCAGTTGGGGGCATTGGATTTTAATTTTTTGAATAAAATTGTAAAACAAACAAACAAAAAGAATCCCAGCATTCTTTTGTGGCCCAAACTGATGCCTTGAGATCTGCATTAGACACTATTCTTCAGGCTTCAGCAGAGGGAAAGAGAGGATGTTTCCTTGCACATTTTATTCTAGACTCCTTCTAGACTCCTGGCTGAGTCTATTTGTTGTTGTTTTTTTCAATGAAGAATTGCTAGCAATTAAACCAACATTTCAATAAAAGAAACATTCCTGAGACTTAGTTTTTCTTAGCAGGTGTGGGGCAAATCACAGGAATTTGGAACCCATGCATAAGGTTCAGAATATCATCCAATGTCAGATCAGATGGCCACAATTTTAATCTCTACATTGCTTATGTTCTTAGCTCGCACAATAAAGTGTCAGATGCGCTCTCTCTCTCTCACACACACACACACACAATAATGATATTCTGTGTCTGCTCCTTCTTGCCAAACTTGAAACTTGACAATTCCCTGCCCGCCTCTCCATGTCAAAGGGACACTTCCAAGATATTAGGGATATGGAAACAGAGGATCTGTTGGATTGGATTTACTTACAATTACAGGACCCTTGTGTCAGGGCTCAGACGAATGACTGACAGGGAGACCTGCAGATTAATTCTTTTTTTCCCCCATAGCTGGAGAACATATTTTAAACACTATGTGACTTTCATTCCTTTCAGTCACATAATCTTTCTTCTGGGCTCATCTCAAAGGCAACCAACTCACTTTTAACATGTTTGACAGATGCAAATGCCTGCTTCAAATAGATGGATGACCCACAGAGAGAGACTCTTCTCATTTTTCTGTAGCTGGGGAACAATATTTTCATAGTAGTCATTTATGTTACTTGTCCTCTCCACAAGAAGTGTTGCAGCTATGCCATGACAATAAGACTGCAGGGCATGAAGGAGTTTTTTAGATGTTGTGTTTAATTTCAGAGTTTTCTTTTGGCCTCAGTTGAAAGAAAGAAGATTTCAAATACTATGCTTCTTTTATCTGCTCTTAGGTTATGGCCATCCCTGCTAAGCTTTCTGGTTTGCTCCAGCCACATCATACAGGATGGTGGATCTCAGAGTCATTTAGAGTTTGTTAGATTTATACATTTCTAAAACAAATGAAATAAATGTACATCTTGGTTCCAAAATAACCTCTTTCAATTAGTGGACATTCATATTTGACATTCACCTGGAGCTGAATAGGTAGAAGGAAAAGACTTGCTATGCTAGAACAATATTATTTATTTACCAAATTTAGAGACTCCCATCTCACTACCAGAGCAACTCTAAGCAGTATAATTATATTCCTCAAATTTATATAAACTGCCCAGAGTCATGTTTGTGAGATGGGCAGTTATATAAATGTGAGAGAGGGAGGGAAGGAGGGTGGGAGGAATTTATCTTGTTGTCCACTCTATGAACAGCAAAACCACCCTGACTTGTTATTTAATTCTGTAATTAAATAACATGTAATTCTGTACATTCCCTTATTACAGTGTTTCTCAACCTTGGAAGCTTGAAGATGGGTGGACTGCTGGCTGGGGGATTTCTGGGAGTTGAAGTCCACCCATCTTCAAGCTTCCAAGGTTGAGAAACACTGCCCTATTAGAATAACTGCCTGTACTGTTTGCACATCAAACTTCTGCAATTCTTCCAGCCTCTGATTTTCTCCAAAAGGCACAGTGAACACAGCTCCTCTTAGATAAGCAATTTGATTTGCCCCAGGCTGTGTATAAAACAGCAGCAGATTCTTATAGGGAAGAGGATGCCAAAAGATTTGGTGTGCCTTTCAAATTACCTTCCTCCCATCCATCCATCCAAGAAACCGAAATTTTATTGATCCTTTTCCTGACTGCTCAGCTTAGCCTAGCAACCTTTTATTTGCACTGGCCTGGTATTTCACTGTTCTTTCACCTCCCTTCTCTTATATTCAGAGACTGTCCCTTTTCTCTGTTCTGGTGAATGGGAAAGAGGAATGCAAGGTGGAGTGTATTCTGGATTTTAAATGCAGGAAGAGTAGATTGGGATATTAATTCACAGGAAGGGTTATTCTGAGACTGTAAGATCATGATAAGCAGAGGTGAATGTATACAGCCCCAATGTGTTCACCAGTTTCATCTGAGATTTCCACAGAAGTCTCATCCTTCTGAACTGGTCCCCAGGTGTAGGAAAACGTCTTTCTTTTAAATTATTTCCCCATCTCTTCATTTTTAAAAGATAGATGTTTGCATCATTTATTTAAAAAGTGACACACAAGCACACATTAGACACTGGAATCATCTGGAACTTTTATTACATTAATTTGGTTTACAATCTTTGTACTTTGATATTTCCAACAAAAAGGCAGCATTGTGATATACTGTTTGTACATACAGAGAAACAGACAGGTCATACCAACATACTGACAAATAATGGCAGTTCTCAGTGCTCACAGATAAAGTTTTGTCAGAATTGAATACATATCCTCTGTTACTTCTTTCTCTGGGATTCATACCAGTCTCTAACCATTGTTCTTTTGTCTACATGTTCCTTGGTCAATGGGGCTTTTAATGGCTTGATGTTGTAGCCATTAACAGATCAGAAAGGATTCTTTAAGAAGTTATCTCAGGTAGCATCAGCAGTTGCATTAGAATTGTTAAGAACACTACCCTTTAGTTCTCAAAACCCAGTGTGTTTGTACCCTTTCTAACTCACATCTGTACACCCCCGGTGGACCAAACTACAGGGGTTACACTAAAATCAGAAGGATGCCAATAGCAGCAAGTACAAAATGTCCCCCTGAGACACATCTACAACATTAGGTATTCACCATCAACAACTTATTTTTTTTTAATGCTGAGGCAGGCTGGTTTATTGAAAATGTAAAATTATTTATTACGTAAATTACACACCTGACTAGGAGACCTTCTTAATCTTCTTAGAAAAAGGTCCAAGACTACAAACCACACAGACAGGGCAAGTGCAGCTCCTCACAATATGGATGAAATCTGTGATTTAATAGTTTGGGAGTTAATCTGAGGATATCTTTTTTAAAAAACCCACAAAGCAACCTACTTGTGAAAAGTGAAGAGTACAGACACGTGTTGAGTAAATACAGCCTTGTTTGTCCATATCATAGTAAGATTTGAGCTAGGTAAGATTTCAGGCCCAAAAGGGTTTGTGTGACTACATCTTTACATAATATTCTTTAAAGGCAATAAGCCAAAATAGATTGCTTACAGAGAATATTACATTTCTCTTCCATACCAAGTCTGTGTATTAAAATGGCAGATCAGTATTAGTTGCAATTAGATTTTTTAAACTTACAATTAGTTCAATTGTAAGTAAAAAAAAATTAGATCTATTTTTTTAAACTTACAATTGAAATATGGCTTTGTGCTTCTGTTCAAATTCATACTTGGGAATAGACTATGACTAAAATTATCTGTCTGAGATACCCCATTTGTAATAGCAAGTTTTACTTCCCAGGGCACTTATTTACTTAGAAGTTGGCTTACTTGAAGATACTAATTAACAACTTAAAAGTTTAGAAATCCAATTAGAAAAAATTCAATGTGTCATTCAATAAACACCACTAGTAATCATTTAGTTCTTAGTTTCTGCCAGCGTAGTTCTAATTGATGAAAAGTAGTTTAAGAAGATAGCATTTAAATGAGACCCTCAGTGTTAAAGTATGGTTAATCTCAGATCAATCTTAACCTAGACACTATAGATTAATATGGTGAAATTATTGACTGCCATATCAGCAATTATCTGCTTATTATACTGCTTCTGATAATGGATGTTCTATAATAACTGTAGGAAAACTGTTTAAAGCTATAAAATCTAGCTGACAATTCATTTTTTTTCTAGTCATTCTATGATGCCGAAGAGTTTTCAGCAACAAATAGATTCTGACAATGTAGATCAACTGGCTACATACATTATCAAACTAAGAAGAAATATCTATCAATTGCCAATTGAAATAGTGTATCTTTTTTGTTTTTCCAGAATGTTTAGCTTTTTATTAGCCAAGGTTTGCTAGTAATACTATTCCTTCTTTACAAGGGATACTTTAACACAGTAGCTAATAGATGTTTGAACTCTGAAGAGCAAAGGATAGAAAATACAAGAGTTAATTTAATTCTGATAAAAAGCAGATTCTGGGTAAACTGCAATTGGATGTTCTACATTTATTGAATAGCACAAGAGTCATTTTCTGTGTATCAGCTATTTCAGCCTTAGTTTTTCAAATAAACTCTCACTGGTTTGGGAGGTACAAGGGTAAAAAAGCTTTTGCACACATTTTTGTGGGTGTGGGTGTGGGTGTGGGTGTTCTCCAGTTTCCACATGGGCCGATTGCTTCTGTTCCCATAAAATATTAGAGGTAGATTATAACTTTCTTCAAACATATTATGCTTTCAGAGTGTCACTCAAGAGTAGGACCCAATTCAAACTAATGAACAAAAAAGGGGCAGTGTGACTATATTAGGAAGAACTTCTCAATATTTCAAGTTGTTGAAAAGGAAGAAAAAATGCCTTGGAAAATTGAGCAGTTTACACAGAGGTAGCTTGTTAGTTTTTTACAGCAAAAATCCTAAAACTCTTGTAGTATCTCAAAAGACTCACTCATTTATCATTGCATAAACTTACTTTTAATAATAAATTAGCCAGCCTAAAAGGTGGCACAAGTCTCTTAGCTGCTTCTGAAAACTGATAGACCAGATAGTTACCAAAGGAGAACTTACTAACTGAATTAGTAAGGGGATTCAGTTATTTCAGTGGCCCTACAATTATCAATTGACTGATTTTATTCCTACCACTTCAGAAAGATTACTGAGGGTGTACATTACAATACCCATCAATACAAAAGCTATGCCATTAGGAAGAAAGAACCTGGAAAAGAGAAGTAGCAAATCCTTTTTGTTTCGTTGGTAAGAAAACTGTATAGTTTGGGGCACCAGACTATGAAGTCAAACTGTACCACACTAGTTATTGGAAAAGAATATTGAACTTTCATGAATAGATCTGAAGACAATTTGAAGACAAGTCAAAATTGCAAGGAATTCTGATCAATTGGCAATACTGAATAAAGGAGACATTAAATTGCAAGGTGGAATGTGAGGAGACCAAAGGAAGCCCTGAAACATTCGAAGTAGAACTGAAGCATATGAAATTGAACTTTTAAGGAATATGTGAACAGAACTAAACCAGAATTGGCCACTTCAAATCAGATATCAATCTGTATACGTAATATACTTATTCAAGACATGAGATCCTATAAAGGAGTGCAGTGGCAAAGATACTTAAAAAGGCATTGTTAAATAAGTGCTTGAATATAATTCAATGATTGACAGGATCATATCGATCCGAAGTGATAAGCACCCTATGAACATCAATGTTATGCAAATCTACACCCTTACTACTATAGATGCTATGATAGAAGGCATTGAAAAATTCCATTGCAAATTACAAGACGTGCCAAATGTAACATCTAGAAAAGACATAGTTCTACTAATAAATGATCAGAATGCAAAAGTTGGAGAATCTGGGCTTTTATCAGTTGGAACATAAATCTAACTGATAAATAAATGGAGGTATCTGGAACTTCCAATTTGGATTGGGTAAATGCAGTAATGCAGAAGAAACTTTGAGTTTTTGTTCTTTTTTTGTTGTTGTTTGTTTAGTGCCAGCATCTGCATCAAGAAATATAAATGCAATCTCTACACCTAGATATCTCCAAACACATCAGTATCAGACTGAATAGATAATATGAAATAGATCCACTTAGCCAGGTTACTTTTAGTTGCAGACTGTGGAACAGGCCATGAATTACTGGTGTCAAATATGCAGGTTAAACTTAGAAAGATAAAGAGAGTAGGAGTGCCCACAAGCTTTGACCGGCAGGACATATAATCAGAATTCATGAATAACTTAAGGAACTTCATTAGTCTTAAAATATGCAAATGCCAAGATTGAAGATGACAGGGATAATAACTAGTTAATGAATCAAAATTGGAGGATGAAACTTAACAATTTCATTAAAATAATGTTAAAAGAAAAGATTTTTTGGTAAATAGTTTTGCTTTCCTGAGCTCAAGAATAGTATAAGAGACAGTGTGTTGGAGAAGTGGAGATTAATCTTAGGGAGCAAGTCCATGACAAACTTAAACAAGACCATGAAGAGCAAGGATAGTGGCAACAGATATCAGAACAACAATTTTTTTAAAAAAATTAAAGTTGTCAAACTAAAAAAAATGAAAAAGAAAAAAAGATATGTTCAATCATGGCTATGGAAAACAAAAGATACTAAGAGTATCCCGGAGTGCTAGAAAAATAAAATCAGTTCTGGCCCAAATAAATCTCATTGTTGTCTAGAGGAAATTATTAGTTGGCATAGAAGTACATATTCTGATTCTTTGATGATGGAATAAAAACAACTATCTCTGGCAGAGTTATGGGAAAGGGAAGGCATTAGATAAGATGAACAGGATCAAAATCACTTCAATCACATTGAAAGAATTACAGATTATAAAGACAGAAGTAACGAATGAGAGCTCCAACTTAGAACTAAAGAGAAATTTCCTGACAGTTAGAACAATTAATCAGTGGAACAGCTTGCCTTCAGAAGTTGCAGATGCTCTTATCACTGGAGGTTTTTAAGAAGAGATTGGAACAGCCATTTGCCTGAAATGGTATATAAAGTTTCCTGCTTGAGCAGGAGGTTGGACTAGCAGACCTCCAAGGTCCCTTCCAACTCTGTTATTCTGTATTCTAATATGAAGGCCACCTGTCTGAGCCCAACTCAGGGATACTTAGGTAGTAGGCAACATTTAAGAATTGGACTAAATGACCTTCACATTCATTCCAATTATATTGTTTCAAGATGTTCCAACTAAGAGATAATATATAACAGAATTATAAGTCCAGACAGATTAAGTTTCTTTAATTGAATGCTGAATATCATTTTTCAAAAAGCAAGTTCAAGTTAGGAAGCTCTGCACATACTTTATTATGTCTGCCAGTGATTTTATTCTGGACATCTGTTTCCTTTACAGTGCTTCTTTTACAACCAGGCGGCGTATAAGAGAACCTAATTCTGCTGTTATGACTTGACCCACTTTTTTGTTTGCAAGAAGGTGACACATAATAACAATCACAAGAAGACAAGTACCTTGTCATGCTTGCCTGCACATTTACCAGGCAGCAAATCCCTGCCATTCATTTTCACACTATGAAAGTTAAGTAAAGCTGCTGCTGTATTTAAATGATTAGTGAAAACATGAAATGCTAATAAAATGAACAACACAATTATTTTTAAATAAGATTTTGTATCTATGTGACATTTTCCTATTCCTCTCAGACCAGCTTCCCCCTTTTTGGTTGACCACTTCTTCCGTCAGTACTGATTTTCTGTCTGCAACTATTCAGAGCCATTTGTATATATTTTGTATGCATTATCATCTCTCCAACTAAGGAGTATTGTAAAAAAAAGGCCTATGATTCTACCACTGATGCTTAAATATACTGTCATTTTGGGAGATGTAAAATGGTATATTATTCAATAACCTTAATAACTATCTATAATTATCAAATGATTATCGTTCTCAGAAGATGTCCTCTTACTCTGTTTCTTCATAGGAATGATCACCAATTATTTTACATGCCATATGTGCTGCTATGGTAACAATCCTCCAAATCCATCAAGCAGCAGTAAAGGAAAATGAGAAACGCTGTTTAGCCTTGCAAGGATTGAAGGATATTCTTCAATACTTGAAGAGGATTTAAGTAACAAGAAAGCATAGTCCAAATGAATGTTAGAAAAAGATGCCCAATAGAGGGAACAAAAGTGGAAAGTTATTCAGAGGAGTGGTGGGGTCCCTTCCACTAGATTATTGAAGCAGAGGCAAGACAGTGGTCAAGAATGATTATACTAGGATTTCTGTGCTAAGCAAGGAATTGGACTCAATGTCCCCTTTCAATGCTATGGTTTTATGCATGATCATTCTTGTACGGCTTGCTTACTGATATTGTATCGAATGGACAAATAATATTCACAAAAGTAATGGAACCATTTGGAATCTAATTAATTAATTAATGCATACTTCATTCTGCTACAAGAATTCCAGATCACTTTATAAGCAAATAAATACTAAAGTGTCAAAAACAAGGAATCAGAGGAATAGAAAATATAGGAATTAAAGCTTGGAATTACACAGGCAATGAGTATTGAATAGAAGCTGTGTAAAACTGCAGTTTTACATGCTGACCAACAGCCATCTCAATCAGGTCCTTCTTCAAATTCTTGGTACACTGTAAGCATATATCACTTTGTCTTCTAAAAATAGCAATGATAGATATACTTGCATGTTCAAAAGACAACAACATGCTTATTTGACAATGTGTGTCTCTATACATGTAATTAATGTACAGATATACATCCCACATTGTTTTCAGACTAAAATGCCAGGTCTTCCCAGTGAAAATCAATGTGTTGGGAAAGATGGGTGATTGGGAATGGCGTTATTGATGCGAATCCATCTCCTAAGTGAACTGTGCAAATGAGATTCTTCACCTATAATTCACTAAATCTGTTCCTCAAAGCTGCAAAGCAGCTGCAGTCTCAGATTGGACCCTCCAGGCAGAAAACACCTCTGCCAGAAAAGGAGAAGCACCTCAAATGATTTGCAGAGACCTAAATATGTACCCTTTTTTTCTGGATGTTCATGAGTTAGTATGAACTAGATCAAGGGTGTCAAACTCAAGGCCAGCGGGTCGCATCTGGCCCGCAGGGTGCTTACATCTGGCCCGCAGGGCTCTCCTGGAAATAGCGAAGGACCAGCGCTCTGCCAGCAAAAACAGGCTCCCAGGCTCCGTTTTCAGCTGCGACAGCCACCTGCTGCCTTTTGCCAGCGAAAACGGAGCCCAGAGGGGCCGCATAGCCCTCTGTGCAGCTGTGCAGCAGCCCTCCTCAGAGGGCTGCAGGAGGCTGTCACAGCCAAAAACAGCCTGGGAGCCTGTTTTCATTGGCAGAGCGCTTGGGCCACTACAGGCACCATAACATGAGTGATGTAAAGCTGGCCACAGACACCACAGCCACGCCCAGCCCCCCGAGATCAAACACAATCCTGATGCAGTCTTCGATGAAATCGAATTTGACACTCCTGAACTAGATTAAATGATCCTGACAATTTGATCAGCCACATGGTTTCTTTTCTCAAATGCCATTTATAACTGTATGTTGAACTTTTCAATATTGTTGAGAAGGATCTCTAATTTGCAGTGCAAGAAAATGTCTTGCAGAGCGAACTGCACTTTATGGATCAATAAGCTGACTTGTTAAAGTCACTTACTTATAAGGCCCAATAAAGGGATGTAAAAGCAAATTTAAAGGAAAAGCATGATTTGTTTTTCAAACAAAATTAAATGTATGGGAAAATAGACAACTTTACAGATATACTTACCTTGTTACTTACATTATAAAATGCATTATGAAATTTGCTTTGTTCATAAAAATACATTTGGTACATCATGTTTGAAAAGTACATTATTGCTTGATACTTGCATAAAGGCTTCCATATCAGATCAGAATTTGTGAAATATCAAACTCAGTTTTTGTGGTGATGCCCATGATTGCATTTTAATCTTGATTCATAAATTGAGTTGTGGCTCTTTCTGATTTTTTCTGCTCAAGTTTTTAAACACAAATCAGTCATAAATAGCATTCAAATATAATGCTAATTTATAATTAGCAGAAATAATTTGTTTTACCTTTTAATTTTGTCTATATAGATATATAAATTATCTCATTAAGCATAATGATAGTATGGGGGGAACAGAAGGGATAAAGAATTAGGAACCCATCCCAAATCTAGGAATGGCTAGCTGTAGCACCAGTCTTCAGTATTAAAAGGACATTATGTATGACAACAGAACAGAACATTTATATGTTTTTAAAACACAAAATTCTTGGAATGCTTAAGAAAACTGAGGTGTTTTTAAGGAACAGCTGTCATTAAATTATCCCAGAAAATATTAATATTTGTTTCAACCAAGACGTTATAAACATCTATGAAAACTAACTTGACAATTATTTTTCTTCCCCACTGTATCTTGCATCAGATTGGGTTATACACTATATCACATATGAATCCTTGCCATTCTCCCATGAATTCAAGGCTGCAGACATGAGATTATTTGAGTCTTGATTCTTAAGACTTTATAGCTGAATAGGAATTCAAAGAATTCAAAAGATGTATCTGTGTCCCAAGTTACTAATTCATGAACAGGTCTGCAACTGCATCTTCTTATCAAAATCTTTCTTCAAAATCACTATATTTGGTTCATTAAGGTAGCTTCTAGAGTTATGTTCTTTTTCCTTCATCTGACTAATCATTTATCGGTTGTCTCAATACACACCAAGCCATGGCTTGCTTAACAAATCACAATTGGCTGGAATCACACAATATCCAGCTAAACCCAAATACCATATTGTAGTTCATCATAATATATGAACCAACCCACTGATTGGACACATCTGGATTATAAAAAGCAGTGTTGATCATCTCTAACCTCATAGTATTATAAAAATCAACTTTTTACTTCTCTGTTTAAAACTGAATGCTAACATATGAAATTAAGAAAACTTGCCTGTTGTCATCCCTCCTGTGACACTCAGAGCTTCCACAGAACAGATGAGAGGTTGGGCAAAATATGCTGGGTCGCCAGATGATCTGTAAATTAGAAATCCTATCTTGCACAAGATTGGGAGTGAGTTGGGAGAGCCTCTCATCTCAATGTTGGCCCTGAAGAGGGACAAACTCCTCATGAAGGGCATGTCTGCAATTTGAGGCTGTCCTAGACTCACAGATTCTATTTCAGCATCAAGTAAAGGCTGTGACCAGAGCAGCCTTTGCCAAACTTTAGCTCTGCACCAATTTTGGTCCTTTCTGATAAGGAGGCAATGGGTAACTCACACCCTCATTATTATGTGATTAGAATACTGTAACACACTCTGCTTGGTATTACTTTTGATGATAACTCTGTCCCAGCCATTTAGCAATGTAGTATTAGAACTAAGCTTGCTATATTGGTTGTTGCTATAGCGTTCAAACTTTTTATTAAATCTTAATTAAGTCTTAAGTCTTGTCTTAAATTGTCCAAGCACTTCATGGTTCAGCTCCTGCATACCTTTAGAACCTTCTTTTCCCAATTGATCCAGTTGGTGGTAAAAAGGCAGGAACTAGAATACAAAGCTTTCTATTGCTTTGTCCTGATCCTGTGGAACACTTGATCTCCCAAGGTGAGATGGACCTCAATGGAACCTTTCCAGAGTTCCAGGAAAAGCATTTCATTTAGATGGGCATTTCATCACTAACACAAACATAGGGTACCTACTTGTTGATCTTTACAATGTTTTAAATATTTATGAATTAAGACTGTCATCTTGTTTAGGGTTGTTAAATTTTGTGATTTCACTTTTTTCTCATTTAATAATAAATCTGCCTTAATTTTTTTTTGAAATAGATGGTATTCTTTAATTTTAATAATTAAATTTTAATAATTAAAGAAATCAACAGCTTCAGTGGCACTTTTAACATATTGACCAAAAGTACCCAAACTACTCTTATCACGAGCATGGACTATTGCATGTTGTCTAACTAAGTCTTTTCACCTGGTTTCATCATATCTGTTATTAAAATGCATTATGTGAAAGTGATAAATCACCATATTAATGATAAGAGAAAGAAATCAATATATATGGGCCCATCTGGTAACAACAACTTATGAAATATTGTAGCTTGGAATATAAGAGTTGTAAATGATAAAAAGAACCAATGAAGTGAAAAGAAAGTTGCATGTTACATTTCAGGGAATATGGGAAAAATAGAGGAAGGTTCTAAGGAAATTGTGTAATATTCTGAATAAATACAACCCAAGGGGGCAATTATTCTGCTAGGTGACATAAGGAAACAGGATGTGAAAGCTGGAACAATGAAAATTATTTCACATTTTTATCCTTTTGCAATCAAAAATTTCTTGGCAGCTTAATTACAGAGCGCTACAGAGATGTGTGGAATTATACTAATGGGAAGTGTGAAAAAAGATGCTTGATAAAATGATCAACTGAAAAGAAAGAGGCTGTGGCTGAAAAAAAAAAGCATGTAAAAGAATGGGAATGAGAAAAAATATAGTACAATATATATATTTTAGTCAAAAGCCAGTTGGTGCTTAAAGCACCAGGTTACAAACCAAGAGTCCACAAGTCAATTCCTGTCACAACCACACAGCTGGTCTGAAAAAATGACCTGCACTTAAGGGAAAATGCTAGGAAAAAGAAAGAACAATTAAGAGAAAATGCAGAGCAATTTTGATGGACATAAGATTGTTTTGAAAATGTGTAAGAAGGCAAAACAAGAAGCTTCCAGGAGAGTAACAGAACTAAAAGTAAAAGTGGTAAAATGACATTGAATGAAACTAAAGTGGGGGAATGCTGGAAGGAGTATTTCAGAGCATATGGATCATTTGGAATCATAATGATATATCAGAAATACAAATGAAATGAAAGCTATATTTTAAATGACTTAGAACAAATTGAAGCCAAGGAATGATAATGCTATAAGAATGCTGAAAAATGTAAAGATGTAAGTGAAATATGGATATGATTTGCTTACCTAGGGGCTGTGCAACTCTCAAAGATTGTTGTAAGAATGCCATTATTGTTTCCCTTTACAAAAGGAAAAGTAACAAGAGTGAATGTAAAAACTATAAAAATATTGGTGATTAAATGTACCTCAGAAGATCTTTTATAAAATAATCAAAATGATAAAAGAGGTGACTATATCCTAAAATTAATAAATGCTGGGCAACAGATGCACAAACAATTTTACTCTTCAGCAAGAAATGCTGAGAAATGTTACATCACTATGACATTGAATATATTGTTGCTGAATACAATAACAGCAGCTATAATGGAAACAAAACATGCATAGGAAGAAATGGAATACAGGTAGTCCTCAACTTATGACCACAACGGAGCCCAGAATTTATGCTGCTAAATGAGACATTTGTTAAGTGAATTTTATCCCGTTTTACAACTTTTCTTGCCACAGTTGTTAAGTGAATCACTGCAGTTGTTAAATTAGTAACACGGTTATTATGTGAACCTGGCTTCCCTGTTGTCTTTGTTTGTCAGAAAGTTGCAAAAGGGGATTGCATGACCCTGAGACACCGCAACCATCATAAATAGGAGTCAGTTGCCAGGCATCTGAATTTTGAACACATGACCATGGGGATGCTGCAACAGCCATAAGTATGAAAACGGTCCTAAATCACTTTTTTCAGTGCCATTGTAACTTTGAATGGTCACTAAGCAAATTGTTATAAGGACTATCTATACCTGGCAAGTTCAATGGTTCAATATTAGGAATTAGGAATAGGTTAAGAATGTGTGGAGTTGGTTTGGTCGTTAAGTGTATTCATAAATAAAAGTATACGGAAAACTAGTTCTAATAGCAGGTGTGTTTGTTGGAGATGTGACTGTACATATACTTTATATATAATTTATATGCAGAAAATGCCTTGTGGCTTCCTGAGAACCCAGATAATTTGCAGAAAATGTTAGATCAATTGTATGATGCAACAAGACTTATGGATTTTATAATAATGTATCAAATATCAAAGTTGTTACACTGACAGGGAAAATAGATTGAATTATTGCAAGTTATGTATAAATAGTGAAAAAAACAGTACAAATCCTCCAACAGTGATGATATGTCTGCTGTCACCTTTTGGAATAAGTGTTTCAAATATGGGTACAACGTCTCTATGCTATTCATTAGTCCTTTTTTTTCAGGCTTCCATATGAACTAGGAAAAAAGGGTGGTGATGCTTTAAGAGTTGCATTAGTTTTTATTGAGTAGATTCTTTAAAGCAGCTACAACATGGTGGGGGGATTCATGTAGAAGTCTAAAAAAGTTGGGATGCTTTAATGAATAGCATAAAGTGCTGTACTCAGACTTGTGTAAGTTCCAAAGCACTTTATACAAAAAAAAATGTCAAAATGTGCTCTAATGTATATGCTGTTTTGTCTACAATAATCCTCTAACAGTATAGCATAGCACAGCAGTCGTCAAATAGTGATAGAAGTATGAAGTTTTGAGAAGGGAGAAAGGAAAACTTTACTAGAAAATTAAGACAAGATGGTTCCATCAAATAGAGAAGTCAAAAGAGGAGCTGAGTTAATTGTTCTTCACTTTAATCAATGAAGGAGAAACAATGAGATTAAGATGCATCTGAAAGAACCCAGCTTAGAAATGAAGAAAATGAACTGTCACTATAGGAGCAAATCAGGCCATCAAATCTGTTCCCAATGGAGTAATCATTTCAGACATAAATAATTTGAAATACTAGCAAGGTGCTATAGACAGGGCTAGATGTAAAGCTGAGTTCTGTTATTTAAGACACAAAAATCTATTACTCGTACAAACTGTGATATGTAATACTGGCTCTCATAATAAAACCCTCAAACTTAGTATGTGTAAGATAGATAACATCCCTGAAAAAATTAGCATAGCATCCTAGTTATAATGTCCAGCTTTCTTTTTCCTCCTACTCTCAACTTTGTTACTTAATATTCAGATTGTAATATAGTTGTGAATAACTTGAATGTTTATTATTTTATCACATTTTAATTAGTCCTGGGAAAAATATTACTCTACTACTGTGTTTCCCCGAAAATAAGACATCTCTTGATAATAAGCCCAATTGGGCTTTTGAGCACATGCGCTAAAATAAGCCCCCCTTGAAAATAAGCCCCCCTCCCCAAAAATATTTAAATGCATGCGCAGCTGGTCCCCGCCATTTCCTCTGGTTAGAGTTAGGGAGACAGCTGGAAATAAGGTAAGATGGCAAGAGGAGCCCCGTCTTGCTCCATGCACCCCAAAATAATAAGATCTCCCCAAAAATAAGGGCAAGTGCTTATTTCGGGGTTCAAAAAAAATATAAAATAGGGTCTTATTTTTGGTGAAACATGGTATGAATTAAGGTTCCTGAAACTTCGGATTTTAGACTAGTATTCTAAGCCACAGCAACAGTGGTTTAGAAACCTGAACCAGGATTCCAGCCAACATGGCCATCGGAGGTTCTGGGATTTGTAGCTGAATGTCACCAATAGGAAATGCTGATCTGTTCTGAGAAAGTGAGCTTTTGCAGAGAAATGTATTTATTATTGAATTTAGTAAATTATAGAGCACTTATGACCAAGATCACAGGCCTTGCTGTCCATCTTTCTTCCGTAAGATTTTTCCCCCAAAGAATAAATCACACACAATAAAATCGAAGAAAGATGGTGATAGTGTGGATTTTGACTTCCCAAGTTTCCTAGATATCATAACCATTATTGAGAACTCTTGTTTTTGGGGTCCCCATATATGGAGAACATCAAAGTTGAGGAAAACTGCATTAATCAAATCTTAGGTGTCACATTTTGTAGTGTCAAAACTGCAATGTGAGGAGTTGCAGTTTGCAAGATCAAAAACAAAAACAGGCATGTCAGAATAGACGTTCATACCACAAACTCCTAGCTCTGAAAAATCATCAGACTGGATGAAAAGAGAAATTCCACATATGATGCTCTATCCTAATATGGCACAAGTCAAACACATATATCCAATAGTCTGGGGGTATATATGTTTGATACTCCATCAAGGTATATACTTGGGAATGGATGAAGTGAGGGGGTCCTATAATAGGCCAATGACCATGTGCTCTTCACAAAGGAGCAGAAAACTGCTAGGCCCAACTGTTGGAATATCACTTACATATGGATTACCTCCCTTCATATTCCAAAGAACATCAGGAAGCAGAAAATGGATTTGATTTGCAGTAAAATTTACACAAATATCCATCAGTGTCACACTAATGAGTTTATCATTAAAAAAAACTGCAGCTGAATCTCTTAGATCCTTCCTCATCATCAAATTTCTTACCTGAGAAACTTCATGACAACTAATTTCCTCTCATTTAGGATCTCTTAGGACTCCCAGTCATCTCCACAACTTCTTGACATGCTTAAAATATACATGGTAGTTTCAGTGCCTTACTTTAAATATTGGGGCTTCTCTTGGATTTGAATTCAAAACTGCATTATATCAAAGTCCAGGTTTTCCTTGCTAATTTTCTTTTCTTTCTATTACCAGAAAAGAGTAAGTACTGTGAACATTTTAAACTTTACCCACAAGTTGCTGATTCTGACATGTGAAACATCAGAAATTCTTAAGAACTCAGGGTCCCCAGAGCTGAGGACAATGTAACAGTCGAGGCATGGTCTAGAAAAAAGGAAGGACTGTAGCTTTTCTTTCAGGTTCCTTTGCTTGGAGAATCAGTGCAGTTACTTGTCTTGCTTGAGAGGAAAAGCTACACTGTCATGGATTCTTCTGATGAAATACAACTCTAAAAAAGTGAGTCAGGGATTGATCCAGCGAGATACTGTCAAGTTGACCTGGGCAGTTGAAGGTGGAACAGGAAAGAAAAAGCCCTAGTATCTCCTCACCCACCCACCCACCCTTTATTTGTTTGTTTTTTTTGCTTGTGGTTGTCAATCTGCAATTCTGTGCCATGGATCTGATGTTGGTGTTGATTGCTCCATATCAAATTTATTACATGAAGTCAAAAGCTATGGACTTGTTCAAGGGAAAATGTGAGGGAGGAATACTTTCAGACTCACGAAGATAGGTTAATGCCAGTATTTCTCTGCTAAACCGTCTCCTGCCTAACCCATCAGATCTGTGAGTCAGGGCACTTCCCTTAAGTGGTTTTCACACCTTTAGAGTGAGGTCTCCACACAGGATCCATTCCGATGGAGGTGGCGGTGATCATGGTTGAGGCAGCCCTCATTTCGATGTACAATAAGGACAGGGAAATAGAGGGCATCTTGGTAAGGAGGAGGTTCCTCCTCCTCCATGGTGACTTGGCTGGACAGGCGAGTCTGCTCCGTTGGACAGCTTTGCTCATTTAAGCTCTCGCTCCGACTTTGCCAAAGGCAGCTGCGCCGGGAGCCATACAGGCGGCCCAGAGAGAAGCGACTGCTGCTAAAGGGGATTCTGGGGCTGCCATTGCAGATGCTGAGAGCACTACGGGAGAAGATGGAAGAGCTACTTATAGTCCTATGGCATTGTTCACAGTTTTGCCGATAACTGCCATAATGGCAGGAGGAATAAGTAGTGCAACCAGACAGGCCTACCAAATCCATAAGGACAGCCTCTGAGTAGCTAGGCACCAATTGCTGGTTGGAGCGGATATGCCACTCTAGTTCTGTACTATCCACTGTGTTGACTCGAGGCATCCGTCGGCAGAAAGGACGCTCTTCAGCTGGTGTTACTGCCACATAGTCAAATCCAAAGAGTTTTTCTACATGGTAGTGGACATAAGAAGTGCGATACTCATTCAAGACTCTCAAGGGCCAGGACAAAGTCAAGAGAGCAGCCACCCAGAAAACATAGTGAGAAATATACCAAGGTAAATTGTCTGGGTCTGAGAAAGCCACCATGTACTCTTTGAAGTCCACATTCTTAAGATGCATGCCTTCCCTTGCCTCCATATAGTCATCTAGTCCCTCGTTCTCTGTGAAGAAACGGGCCCTCTGAGTTAGATAGGAGTTCTCAGATTCTACATTGGCAAAGCTGAAGCACTTGGTGAAGCGAAGCCGAGTAGCTGGGAAACTCTCCAAGTCTATTAGGTCCTTTGAAATGTCCTTCGCCCCACAGTTAGAATAATCAAATTCTGCTTCTGCCACATGGGTGTTGACTCTCTCATGGTAGACCTGGGTGGTAGTATAAGCATCCCCATTGCGATAGCGGGTGACCTGACGTGTCCTTCTGACATAATGATAGCTGATGGCTTTCCACCAGATGCAAGGTGTGGCCTGCTGCATCCTTTGGACACGTTCATGCACACTGTCTACATCCACCTTGTACTGGAGCTCATTGCGAGTGTAGCAGTGCCAACACTCCACCAGGTAGACCACATAAAGCATCACCAAGAAGGCCAAAGGAATATAGATATAGCCATTAGAGCAAGGGCTATCATGGTACATCATGGACTTTCCCTTATAAGCACTATCAAATGTCAACCGGGTCACCTTTGTTACGTGGCACCAAGTCATTGCTCCCATGCAGCCATACATTAGGAAGGAGAGCACCAGGCACTTCCAGTGTGACTCTCTACAGAGCGACTTGCTGAGCGACTGCTTCACTGGCCGTTGCTGCTTTGCATGATGAGGAGACATCGTGGATATTGTGGATTTGAGGGGGGAGAGAGCAGAGAGAAAACAGAAAAAAAATAATTACTATATAGTGAAAGAAAGGGAAACAGAGAGAGCTGCATAACTGTCTTAATTAGCATTAACTACAGAATTAGTCACAGATGGGCATTCTCAGAGTCATGAATAGTGGTACTCAGGATAAATCCTCTCAGCTTGCAGGCATGAGGAACAGGAGAACTGAAGTTATATATGCATAATTGTTTCCCAGAACTCACATTCAAATTACTATAGCATCCTCAAATTACTACAGTAGAAGATTGTAACAATCCTCTCCCAAGCTCTGAGGAAATGAATTATTGGGACATGTTGATATGATCTTCCAGATCTGCCATCACCCTCTTTCAGTTTAAATGGAGAAGTTTTGTGATTCGTTTATTAAATATATTACATCTCACAGGAAGATGGAAAGGATTACCCCATTCTCCCTCTTTCCTAGTCACACTTCTGCCTTTACGGACATTTTTTCCTACCATTTTATTTCTAAAATATGAATATGCTCTGACAATTTGCAGTCATTTTTTGCTATAATTGTGAGACAATGGACCTTTCTCTTGTGTAACTATTTTCTGTCTTCACATTGAAAAGGTTCAAGAGAGGTTCAATACAAACTATTGGTATTTATCAAATAAGTTTATGGAGTAAGCCTAATTAAAGTCTTTTGCCTTTCTAGGTTTATGTATCCCAGGGGAATATAAAGAAATAAATATAAAGAAACAGTAAAGCCTCAACTACTTCTAAGGGGAAAATGGCAGATTTCAATCCTTCTTAATTTCCTTTGGTAAATAGACAAGAAATTGTACAATTCTGTTCCACTGAGGACTACAGTACTCTTTACAGGAGTAACCTGTCCAGGGCCATTTCTGGCACCTCATTTTCTCTCTCTTAGTCTAATGCAGGAGTGAGTAATCCTGATCCATGGAGCTGCATGCATTTTATAAACCTCTTTTTGAAGTTCTGATGGTGTTATAAAAATCTAGGGATGAGGCACCAAGTACTGAAATTGGGTGTCAGCCCTGGAGGCCATCTTTTACTTTGGATATTCAGGGCTGCCACACTTGGTAGATGGGCATGCTGTGGGAAACAGGAGGGGGGGTGGATGGAGACAGGATGAGATGTACAGCCATAACAACGTTCTTTTCTCTGGGAGTCAAGAACGTTCAGCCTGCACCTGGAGAAGTGTGACTGGGAAGCAACTCCAGTTGGGACAGGGACATGATTGGACCATGTGGTGGACATGTGGGTGCAGGGGAAGGAACTTTTTGATTTGGGTGGGGAAAACCCGGAGGCCTTTCAGATTCGGGTTTTCCCAGATGTGCCAATATGACATCTCTAATAAAATGGAACTTGAGGAGAATGCCTGCCTTGGAGTTTTACTTCTGCTGGGGGTGTTACTTAGAACCCTGACATTGGGTTTTGTGCAATGTAATAGTTTATGTAGCTACACTCAGCTTGTTTAGCCTTACAATAGTAGACAAGGTTATCAATTTCTAAATTTTTAAAGTTTTATCTCCTTATATGATGTAAATGTATATGATGTACATATGGCTAGAAAAACTTGGCAACCCATGAAGTGTTGTTTACTGTCGCATTTATGGAAAAACATGATTTTCTTTTGTCTGACACAATTATTTGGGCTTCCTGGTTATAAACTGAACTTTTAATTCTTTTTTTGCATGTAAGCAGTAGGTTCAGAGATGAGTGAATGTAATTTATGGCTATACAGCCAGAAACAGAAACAAAAAAAAAGCAAGACAGGTTTAGAAAATATTTCTGTCTATTTCCATGTCTCATCTATAGGAATGTGGGTGGCAAATACAAGAAAAAGGATTTTGAAGTCTTTGTCCATAGATTCATAAACACACGTTTACTGTAAATGACTTCTTTGTTAAAGCTAATAATCCTGCCCTATCTTTCTAGGATTCAGTATGTGACAGCAATGTAAAACAGTAAGGGGTTTATAATAAACAAAATAACATTTGTGAACATAGTCCCAGACAAAAAAAGGTTAAAACAAAGGGGAGACTTGAGAAGATTGTACTCTGAGGCTGAGCATAGATGGGAGTGCTCCATCTTCCTAGTTTAGAAGTCTGGATAAAAGGAAGCCGAGGCTCTCCACTTCACAAGGATTCAACTTCTATAGAAACAGGTGAATCTATCTAGGCAGGAAATCAGCAATAGGTTAATTGTTTTCTGTATGGTGTTAAGTCTACTTTTATTTTGGTACAAGCTAGAAAAATCGGGGTTTATAGTGATCTTGAATCATAGCTCAAGTAAGTGCAAGAAGATATATATTGTATATATTTTTACAATCTCCTTGCGATCACTAAAATTAATTTGGAATGCTCTATCTCATCTCTTTATAGATCAGAGTAGCACCATCTTTTGATCTGCCCATAACTTTGTATTTTCTTTTGAAATTCTTATTCTTAAATTCCTTTTCAGTTGCTGTTTCACATGGTCACTTGTTTAAATTACCTCTTCCAATATTGAAAGCTTTTTTCACTATTTAAGGTTTTTAAAAAATGTTTACATTTGGTTTATTACTTCGGAACTTAAGCTACCTTAAAGAGGCAGAAAAGCTGAATTCTCTAATTACATGGCTTTATGTTACATATCGCTATCTCATTTTTACATTTTTTTGTGTTTGTAACTCTTAATTATAAATATGGCAGCACAGGTTATGAGGACCCCATCAGGGGTTGAACGCCAAGTGAGATGGTGGTTGAGTGGGACAACTCACCATGGTCAACTCTCCACATCATGGTCAACTCACCACGGCCAACTCGCCACGGTCAATTCAGTGGGACAACACGACATAGCCAACTTGCCACTGGAAACTCGTGAGACGATTCAACAATTCAATTTAATTATTTAAAATTATTAAAAAATTATTTTTATTTTTGTCATTCACATTTATTTTCTCCATTCTTTCTTTAATGATTCTATTCCACTATTTATTTATTTTTTGATATTAGTGTAATTTTTGTCTCACAGTGAGTTGGCCGCAGCAGGAAATGGAAACTGGGTGTGAAGAGTATTTGGGGAGAGAATGTCTGAAACCCTTAGTCCTCCGCCCTAAGGGCTCAACTGTCCACTACAAAGACATTTATAGAAAACATTTTCTATCTATTCCCCTGTCTTATTTCTAATATGAGGGTGGCAAATACTGTATGAAAAACACAAGTTTAGGGTCTTTCTCATACCCTACAGATTCTCATACAGATTCATATCCTAAAATCTTTCATTTAACTTAATGATCTTCTTGATTTATAATGATTCCTCCATATTTCACTGGCCATATTTATCTTGGGTTAATATGCAATATGAATGTACAATAATTAGGAAAATGCTTAAAAGTAAGCATCCTAACAGTCGTACAAGTAGTGCATATGCGTTGATAACAGCATTACAGATGACTAAAATGGAAATGAATTACAAGCCACAGTTTTTCTTTAGCTTGGATGGTGCGAGTTCTATTTTTGTATTTCTCACATTTTCTGAGTGTGATTATAGACATAGGAACATTGCTTTATAAATCTGCCACATTACCAGTTTGCAAGATGCAGCATCCTGGTCTAGTTGTTAACCACAAGATTTTTAACAAGATTCCTCCACAAGCTATTTGCCTTCAATTTTTAAGTAAAAAGATTCAAAGCATAATTTATATATTTGCTTTTACAGCTATCGCTTCCCATCAAATGTGTGAAGTGTCACAAGACCTTTTAAACTGTGATCTTACAAACCAAGCAGTGCCACTAAATCAGCCTCAAGGAAAAATAGTTAAAATAACTCTGAAAGCATAAGGCCATGTTTGACACCAGAAAGGGACGAACTAAGGATGAAGACCTCTTTTTAAGACTGTAGCTCTGCAGTACCATAATCCATCAGAAAGAATGAAAACAATCTGAACACATAAAGTGGAATGAGGAAAATGCATTGAAGTTTGTGATATGCATTTCTATCTCTTGGTTCAAACTGAGGATGATAGGAACCTTGTAAGACAAATGGGGACACACATTTTCAGATTGCATGCAAGACAGAAGATTGCTAGAACTGTGCAATCTTACAAGATTGCTAGTAAGTGCTGTGCAATAACTGGCATTTCTTCATTTAGACAATTCTTGTCTTTCCCTAGCTAAAAGTAATTTAGATATTTATGAAAGTGAACTAAGAGAAGGTTGCTGTTTTGCAGAAATACCCAAAACACTCAGGTTTAAATTTCTGCAGTTCAGAATATCTTAGAGAAATGTTCTCCTTCTGTTGGTCAAGCATTACTTCACCTAGGCCCAAATTATGAATCTGAAAGGACATTCAAGTGCTATGAAGTTTCAGTAACCACCTAAAAAACACATCTGTGCTTGGAGGGTTGGGGACTATGGATTGCTTTGTATGACCAGCTTAATATATTCAAATGTATCATGTACTAACCAAGCTATTATCTTGCTAGATTTGGATTAGGGAAACTGGGGGTCCAATCATCGCTCAATGATGAAGCTTAGAGGCTTATCTTGGACTAGTAACTATTTCTTCTAATGTGGAAGATATCTAGCACATTTTAACCAGTCAAATTGTCAGGTATCAGGGCTATCATTAATCCTTACAATAATGGCATCTTGGGCTGAGTTAATTATGTCTCTAAGCAACATCATTTTTTTTAGGAAGCAAGCATCTATCTCCATGGTTGATGGAGACTTGTGTCATATCAGAAAGTATACTGAAGGAGAACGAAACAGATGGGGAAGGCTACACAACACTTTACACGAGTGGCTGAACAGATCTTTGCTCAGCATTGACGTCTAGCTCAGGCTACCCTCAGCAGCACCTCTATCCTTTTTTAAATACCCAGAGAGGCTTTCCCCATCTTTTATTTCATTATAATGGGGTTCTAAAATAGTGATGCAGACGTCTTTCAATATAATGAGATAACATCATTTGGTTTTTCTATCCTTCATTCTCTTTTCCTGCATTTCTGAGACTATTGCCTACTCTTTAATTTTGGAT